CGCACAAATAGGTTGTGGAAAAGGGCATCAGAACTTCAATGGCACTATTTGCAACAGCTGGATATTCTTTCTCCACAGTAATCCAAAAACTGTCTTGAAATTTCATTTTTAAACTGCGATCTTCCCTTAGGTCTGCAATTTGTTCTTATACTTCCAGTGGCATGCCTTTTGAACTTTCCAGTCCTGATGTACTCCAAGGATCAAGGACCCAGTCAAACTCAGCATAAGTCTCAACTGGAAAATAAAAGTTGAACCTCTCCTCTAGGACTTTCAGATGCTGGGTGATAAGCCCAGGGAGTTTGCTGTTTGAGTGTGCATTGCACAAGGGAAACATCAAGTTGGCCATTTTCAACAAAAGAACGCCAGAGGACGAGCTTGGACCTGAAGCCTCGCAATTTGTCGGTAGAAGTGAGAATATTTTCATCTTTGCCTTGCATTTTTGTGTTCAGGTCATTGAGATGCTTAAAAATATCGGCGAGATATGCAAGTTTTGAACACCATTCCATGTCTGCAATTAGCTCTGCATACCCTGAATTCTCCTGATTAAGGAAAGTTTTTAACTCTTCCCTCAGTTCGTAGAGTCGTGCCAAAACCTTGCCGCGTGATAGCCATCGAAAGGCCGTACGTAATAACAAGCTCTGATGTTCCGCTCCCATTTCGTCACATAAAATCGAAAATAGATTGTGTAAGTCTGGCAGGTTTCAGTTAATGATGTGTCAGGAGTAGGTGGAGGAATAGGTGGCAGTAGACAAGTGGAGAGATTGTGGTATCTCCTCTTTATACCACCCTCAGGCTCACTGTCTCAGAATCTGTATCTCCAAAGATTTGCCTAACAAACAAATTACAACGGACCATAGTGATTTTTTTGGCATGGTTACAAACATCAATTTTTTTTTTTTTTTGTAAATGTAAGAACTGCATATTCATAAATGCCACCTACGCCAAATTTACGACCAATTTCGCCCTGTATGGCCACCCAAACTGCCCATTTAAATGAGAGAGAGAGACGGAGAGAATTATTAGAGAATTAGTATAGATAGATAGATAGATATACACTTACCGGCCACTTTATTAGGTACACCTGTCCAACTGCTCGTTAACACTTAATTTCTAAGCTGCCAATCACATGGCGGCAACTCAGTGCATTTAGGCATGTAGACATGGTCAAGACAATCTCCTGCAGTTCAAACCGAGCATCAGTATGGGGAAGAAAGGTGATTTGAGTGACTTTGAACGTGGCATGATTGTTGGTGCCAGAAGGGCTGGTCTGAGTATTTCAGAAACTGCTAATCTACTGGGATTTTCACGCACAACCATCTCTAGGGTTTACAGAGAATGGTCCGAAAAAGAAAAAACATCCAGTGAGCGGCAGTTCTGTGGGCGGAAATGCCTTGTTGATGCCAGAGGTCAGAGGAGAATGGCCAGACTGGTTCGAGCTGATAGAAGGGCAACAGTGACTCAAATAACCACCCGTTACAACCAAGGTGGGCAGAAGAGCATCTCTGCACGCACAGTACGTCGAACTTTGAGGCAGATGGGCTACAGTAGCAGAAGACCACACCGGGTGCCACTCCTTTCAGCTAAGAACAGGAAACTGAGGCTACAATTTGCACAAGCTCATCGAAATTGGACAATAGAAGATTGGAAAAACGTTGCCTGGTCTGATGAGTCTCGATTTCTGCTGCGACATTCGGATGGTAGGGTCAGAATTTGGCGTCTACAACATGAAAGCATGGATCCATCCTGCCTTGTATCAACGGTTCAGGCTGATGGTGGTGGTGTCATGGTGTGGGGAATATTTTCTTTGCACTCTTTGGGCCCCTCGGTACCAATTGAGCATCGTTGCAATGCCACAGCCTACCTGAGTATTGTTGCTGACCATGTCCATCCCTTTATGACCACAATGTACCCAACTTCTGATGGCTACTTTCAGCAGGATAATGCGCCATGTCATTAAGCTGGAATCATCTCAGACTGGTTTCTTGAACATGACAATGAGTTCGCTGTACTCAAATGGCCTCCACAGTCACCAGATCTCAATCCAATAGAGCATCTTTGGGATGTGGTGGAACGGTTCGCATCATGGATGTGCAGCCGACAAATCTGCGGCAACTGTGTGATGCCATCATGTCAATATGGACCAAACTCCCTGAGGAATGCTTCCAGCACCTTGTTGAATCTATGCCACGAAGAATTGAGGCAGTTCTGAAGGCAAAAGGGGGTCCAACCCGTTACTAGCATGGGGTACCTAATAAAGTGGCCGGTGAGTGTATATTGTGCATAACCCCTCCTCATACAATGGCGATCGCATATCAATATGCTGTGGCTGGATGTAAAATATGTAAAAGTGCGGCACCTGGCCACCAAGGATTTATTTAATCATAGGAAATGTAGGTATTCAAAAAAAAAATAATAATTCAAATGTATGATTATGGTGGTAGTTTGCTTTGACTGGGTAGCGAGTTGTTAGCTAGCTAAGTGGCTAACAGCTGCAGACCCGGTGTTACGGATCACTTGGGGATCATGTTAACTGGGGGGAAAGCACATGCACGCAGATAGTTTTACCTGGATTTCCAGCAGATGTTAGACGGCTACAGATTCATCACAGCGAATTTTCCACTTAGCAGATTTGAAAGCTTTCCATATTATTGTTAAATTAATGTTTGTATCTTCTATCGCTTGTTGTGGAAATAATTCTCTGTTCGAAAAGGTAGGAGGAAGAAGACAAGTGGAAAACCTCTTAAAAGTCAAAGTATCAAAAGTTTATTTCTTGCAAGAAATAAAATTGAAATGGCATTCAACATACAGGCAGTATCTACATGTGAAGGCGAAGGCTTGTCCCTTTTCGCCCAGGTTATATACCCTAAACACAGGAAATAATTATATGTAGGCTGCATCTGGTTTGCAGAAGATTGTCCCCTATGCAGCCTTAAAAGGAAACCTGTTGATGTTGCTTTGAACTATACTTGTTAACCATATATTTATCAAGACAGAACAATGACATCTTCGTTAAGGTTTCCTGTGTTTAGCTGCTGTTCGACCTCACACCCTTTCTGCTTATCTCTCGTTTGATCAAAACCTGCACACATACATTTCACACTTAAAATACAATGGGCTGTTTGGAGTACACAAAGTTGGGGCGGGCACGTAACTTACATTCGCAGCTTGACTCATATGAGTATTCAGTGTGCGGCGGCTCGCTGACAGCAACAGCTGGCTGTTTTGAGTGAGACGACCAGGTTACTGTGAGCGCCAGGGACAGTGTGTCTGTTAAGAGTGAGAGCTTGTGTGCGGCCATGTGATTTACACACATAAAAATACATACTACTTTTTTTTCTTCATCATTTTCTTTGCTTTTTTGGCGGTAGTCCAGTGTTCCCCTTTGTGTTTAGCGGTTTCGCTGGGTTCGCAGGAAGTTAGAGAAAATAGAGGAGTCAAAGGTTATATGACGCCATAGACGGGCGACGAAACAGAAATAAAGAAACGTCCCGTGTCTTAGAATTAAACTATAAATTTCTCTGTATTTGAAAGTTGGTGGAAACTATCGGGATAATGTAAGTACACATCTAATAGAAATATATAACATAGATACAGTTATTTTTGCTATTTTTAAAGCAGAAAAAAATACATATTGTGCCTTTAAAGGAAGTTATGTTTTTTCTTCTTCTCAATGTCGAGAAACACAGATCACGCCTTCATCATTTTGTTACATTCGTTTCGATGGAAATCATATCTAAATGAAAATTGTAAGTGGCTATGTTAAAGTATTTGCATTGTGTTTTTGCAGTGCGTGTGTGATTATTTTGTGATGCCTGGTTTGTGGCTTAATTTAAATTTAGCGGCAATGCACTGTGGTTAAAGGAACACGTCAATTTATGTATTTAAGCTGAGAAATGAGTTAAAGTGCACACAACACTCCATAAATGTTCCTTAAAGTCCCTGTAAAGGCAATTCTACAAAAAAAAGTTCTAAACACATTATAAATGTTACATATGTATTGCTAAAACATATTACAAAGACTGTGAACTGTGAAGTACTGAAATGTGGAGTTAGACCGTTAAACAGTTTTTCACCATTGCAATTTTACAGATTGTTTGGGCGGGGCTAAAACAGGGCTCGATGACGCACTGGAGCCCATGAGCTCCTGGAGACACACCTATTTGATGACGGACAGAGTCTGATCTCTCCCCTAACACACAATAACACTCCCCGAGCACATTCGCATTCACCGCTCAATCGCGAGTGACTGTCAGTACTATTAGTTACTACAGCTGAGCCTACAGTTTGCTACCTAGCTATGCCTTTGACACGGACATGCAGAGGCTACCTGGATGCGATCATGTACAAAACAGATCGGTATCTTTTATTTAAATTCCCTAAAAACGATCACATCAAGAAGAGGTTTTTAGAGAGTCTACCTCGCCAACACCCGCCTCTGTAGTGATCATTTTACACAGGATAGTTTTATAAACTTTCCTCAGAGACAACTGGGATTCACTGATAATCTGCTGTTACTGGTGAACGGGGCCGAAACATCTATCTCCCGCCTCAGTGTTCATCCTCCCGTCGCGAAAGCAGTTTCACCTAATATCACCGTCGACAGCTCCCGCTAGTGGGCGTGGTTTCAGCACAGCCAGTGGACACGCCCCCAGCGTTTGAAAACAGAGATAACTGCTCATTTTTTCATGATTTTGATAGCTTATTTTATGTACTTGCCGGCTTTTTTATCATTCAAATTTGGCTGGGTGGCTAATAACACATTTTTCTGTGGTGTGATATACTCAGAACACATACTTAATTTTGACTTTACAGGGACTTTAAGAGTGGAGCAAGGTGATAAGTTATAGCTATGCAAATATAATTTTAATATTAAAGACATACAGGTAGGATCCAGTTAATAACTGGATTTATTAGCAGCATTTATTAGCAATGTTCAACAAACAAACATAACAGCAATAAAAATAGAAGGAAAAAAAGGCAGGACAAAAGCACTACAAGCATGCAGGGCAGCTATATTTGCCAACAGTGGAAGGTCTACCCACACAGTCCCAATGGTACCACCTTTCACATTCTGTACATTCAATCTAAGGAAGGAAGAGCAAACAATAGAATAAGTTAATTGTTAGGCGAGTAGTTTTCAAAGCATATTTATACTGTAAATTGTTCTTACCCATTGCACAGTTTGGTCTTTGTGCCTATGATGATCTCCACATGAATGACAGAGCTGTGAAAGGTCATCTGTAATATGCAGAGGGAGTCATGTCATGCCCAGAAAACTTAAAGGTAGTCAAGGCTACACAAATTCAAATTATTATTTCTCACCAGTTTCTCTTAATAGCATTTTTGCAATTTCCAGGCGCAGTGAAACAATGCCTTCCTCGTTTGAAAATGTAATCTCTTCCTCCATAAAAAGCAGCTCTGCTAGCTGATGTGAGCAGTTATGCCCTACATAAATTAGGTCTTATCAATAAAGACTGTAAAAATTCACATATACACATACATATAGCTTACTTTGCAAACAAAAATGCACCACATGATGTGGAATCCTGTTGTGCAGGATGCACAATTGAGTGGCATCCCCACATGTAAATGTTGATTTTCATACAATACTTGCCTTGTAGCATCCTTGCATTTAGAAATTGTACATTCATTAGTACCAACAGAGTCAATATATATGGATTTTGACAATTTTGGAAACATTGCCTGAAAAACAAAACAAACATTAAGTGTCAGTAGATAATCTTAAGTTTACATTACCATCTATTCATGCATCTACTTCTGTAGAAATTTAGAAAGTTACTTACTATAAATGTCCAATGGTTGTCGTTGACACAAACAGCCCCAAAAAGAACATCATAGCTGGATGGATCAAGCTACAAACAATACAATAGCGATTTTAAAAACTTTGAAGTTTGTGTTTAAATACAAAAACCTTTTTCAAGCCCTTTTGGCTTCCATTCCAGATTGCAGTCATCTGGTATGAATCGATTAAATATGCCCGTTTCATTCCCGACACATTCAATCGGATTTTAAGATGGTGTAGATACTGTACCCATTCACAACCTATTTACAAAAAGAATCAAAATAAAACAAGGAACCAAAACAAAAGGTAACCATATACACTCACCGGCCACTTTATTAGGTACCCCATGCTAGTAACGGGTTGGACCCCCTTTTGCCTTCAGATTTGCCTCAATTCTTCGTGGCATAGATTCAACAAGGTGCTGGAAGCATTCCTCAGGGAGTTTGGTCCATATTGACATGATGGCATCACACAGTTGCCGCAGATTTGTCGGCTGCACATCCATGATGCGAATCTCCCGTTCCACCAGATCCCAAAGATGCTCTATTGGATTGAGATCTGGTGACTGTGGAGGCCATTTGAGTACAGCGAACTCATTGTCATGTTCAAGAAACCAGTCTGAGATGATTCCAGCTTTATGACATGGTGCATTATCCCGCTGAAAGTAGCCATCAGAAGTTGGGTACATTGTGGTCATAAAGGGATGGACATGGTCAGCAACAATACTCAGGTAGGCTGTGGCGTTGCAACGATGCTCAATTGGTACCAAGGGGCCCAAAGAGTGCCAAGAAAATATTCCCCACACCATGACACCACCACCACCAGCCTGAACCGTTGATACAAGGCAGGATGGATCCATGCTTTCATGTTGTAGACGCCAAATTCTGACCCTACCATCCGAATGTCGCAGCAGAAATCAAGACTCATCAGACCAGGCAACGTTTTTCCAATCTTCTATTGTCCAATTTCGATGAGCTTGTGCAAATTGTAGCCTCAGTTTCCTGTTCTTAGCTGAAAGGAGTGGCACCCTGTGTGGTCTTCTGCTGCTGTAGCCCATCTGCCTCAAAGTTCGACATACTGTGCGTTCAGAGATGCTCTTCTGCCCACCTTGGTTGTAACGGGTGGTTATTTGAGTCACTGTTGCCCTTCTATCAGCTCGAACCAGTCTGGCCATTCTCCTCTGACCTCTGGCATCAACAAGGCATTTCCGCCCACAGAACTGCCGCTCACTGGATGTTTTTTCTTTTTCGGACCATTCTCTGTAAACCCTAGAGATGGTTGTGCGTGAAAATCCCAGTAGATTAGCAGTTTCTGAAATACTCAGACCAGCCCTTCTGGCACCAACAATCATGCCATGTTCAAAGTCACTCAAATCACCTTTCTTCCCCATACTGATGCTCGGTTTGAACTGCAGGAGATTGTCTTGACCATGTCTACATGCCTAAATGCACTGAGTTGCCGCCATGTGATTGGCTGCTTAGAAATTAAGTGTTAACCAGCAGTTGGACAGGTGTACCTAATAAAGTGGCCGGTGAGTGTACAATTTGAGAATGCAACCCTACCTCACTTTCTAACCATTTGCCTAGTGCCAGACCCATCAGGTTTTTGGTGAACAATTTGTAGGGGGACCATTTTGCTCCACAGACCATTTTGCCCTCCCATATATCATGTATCATTAAAATAAGCACAATGAATGCAAAGTAAAACTCTGAGCAATGACACTGTGAAATATATCCAAACCACTTCATTTTTACCTTGTTCTTCTGGATATTTTGACACAGGGAAGGTATCTGGGGAGCAAGAGTGAGTAGTTGGTGGGCCTGGCCTTGATTTGTGTTTGTGCAATTGTTACAGGGTGAGGAGAATTAGCTGTTAACGGGGGTGTTGCATGGTGAGGAGAATTGGCTGGTAAAGGAGGACTTGCATGGTGAGGAGGATTGGCTGGTGATGGAAGTTTGGCAGCCTGAGGAGGATTGGCTAATGATGGAGGTTTGGCAGGATGAGGAGGATTGGCTGGTGATGGAGGTTTGGCTCGTGATGGAGATTTGGCAGGGTGAGGAGGATTGGCTGGTGATGGAGGTTTGGCAGGGTGAGGATTGGCTGGAGGAGCAGGAGGACTGAGAGGTGTTGATGGGATCCATTTTTTTCAAATGTGAGCTTCGGGTTCCACTTACTTTATTAAACGATCTATGTTGAATTTCAACTTTTTCTTCCCTTTGGTTGAAACCACATCAACATTTTTGCCTATGTTAATGGTAGTAAATGGACCAAGCATGTCTGGGTCCATTTTTCCACCCTTTCTGTTCTCTTGTCTCACATTCCCAACCAACACTTTATCCCCAGCCATTAAGTTGCCCTTTTTCTATCTTTTGCTTCCATACTTTCTCTTGACTCTCTGTGATGTTCTGTTTGACAACTTCCATTGTCTCTCTCCTATCTCTCAACCCCTCAGCCAGCTGCTCACTTGCAACCATGGCTTTCCATGACAGATCTAAGTAAGACATTCAGTTTTAGCAAAAAAAGGCACAAACCACTAACATCATAATCCTTTGGTACCTGACATGGATATCATGCCTCTCTACCAAACATTAAATAATATGGGGAAAACTGTGTTGTTAATTGTTTTTTTGTTCTTAGTGCGAACATTGTTGCATTTAGATGAAGGTGCCATGTTGATGGATTTTCCCCAACAATTTTTGTCAGGCTTCTGGACATTAACAATCAAAAAGAAAATCATGAAATGTTCAAAAACTACAGAACATGTGCCTGTACACATGTACAAATTCCCTTTGAATTGTGCCATTAAATCTCTCAACAAGGCCATTTGTCTGGGGGTGATAAGGAGAACACAGACTCCTGGTCTCTCACACAGGCTAGAATTAACCTTTGAAAAAATAAAACCATTTTGAGATATTTCTTATGGTCATCTCCATTTATTTTAACTTGATTTTTGTTAAAGCAACCTTGTTGACAAACTCTCTTCCCTGATTTGTTAACAAAAGCTGTTCCAAATTTGAAATAAAAGTCTAGGATGCACCCCGTGACCTCTTCTGCTTTTTATGTTTTTAGAGGATAGGCTTCAGACCACTTAGTGAAATAGTCCACCATGATGTATATATCGGTGCCCATTTTCTTTTGGTGTTAATTTGATCAAATCCATACCAATTAATTCTAGTGGTTCTTTGACTTGAAATGAAAATCAATTGTTTTAAACATTCAGGAATTTTATACATACTATAGGATTGTAAGCCGCCTTCTCCTTTAATGTATTTTCCTATCCTGACACTGAGGATGCTGAGCTATCTAAAAGAAGAGAGGTGGGCCATGACCATTATAATTGAGTTAGATGTAGTAAAAAAAAAAACATTTAAAAGTTTTTTTTTTTTTTTTTTTTTACACAATTAACTTACCCACTTGCAGATGTCCTGTTCCATGCCAGGCCAGTAAAATCTAAGAATTATGGCATTGTGGGTGTTCTCAGCTCCACAATGTCCACCAAGAGGGCCTGCATGGAATTCCATAAATACATTGAGCACCTCCTCGGGTGAAAGGACAACTTTAGCCAAATGCTGACTCTTATCCTTTTTTCTGCCTGCAGATGTAATGCAGCTCTCCATCTAATGTAATAATGTTACATTAGTAAATAAAGCTCGCAGTTTTACTATTTATGGCAAGACCAACTTAATACATAATTACCTTTCATTGTGAAATTTTCACATCTTCTCTTTAGCTATCAGGATATTGGTTATCTTGCAAAAAATTTTTGATTTCTCTAACTTTAATTGCATCCATTTGCTTTGTCAGTATACGGCCTAACAACAAGACCAGTTACAACTAGATTAAAAAGTTCGTCGAGACAAACTTTAAGTTGGCTTGTGAAAGTTTGGAACAGAAAGTTTGAAGAAGTTTAAAGTAGTTTGAAGAAGTTTAAAGTAGTTTGAAGAAGTTTAAAGTAGTTTGAAGTTTAAATTAGTCTAAAGTTTAAATTAAGTTTAACTTAGTTTAAAGATAGATAGATAGATAGATAGATAGATAGATAGATAGATAGATAGATAGATAGATAGATAGATAGAGTTAGAGAGATAGATAGATAGAGTTAGAAAGAGACAGATGGAGTTAGAGAGATAGATACATAGATAGATAGATAGATGTGTTGCTAGGTGGTTGTTAGGGTGTTCTTGGTGGTTGCTAGGGTGTTGCTAGGCAGTTGCTAGGGTGTGCTGGGAGGTTGCTATGGTGTTGCTAGGCGGTTGCTAGGGTGTTCTGGGTGGTTGCTAGGGTGTTGCTAGGCAGTTGCTAGGGTATTTTGGGTGGAGGCTATGGTGTTGCTAGGTGGTTGTTAGGGTGTTCTTGGTGGTTGCTAGGGTGTTGCTAGGCGGTTGCTAGGGTGTTCTGGGTGGTTGCTATGGTGTTGCTAGGCGGTTGCTAGGGTGTTCTGGGAGGTTGCTATGGTGTTGCTAGGCGGTTGCTAGGGTGTTCTAGGTGGTTGCTAGGGTGTTGCTAGGCAGTTGCTAGGGTGTTCTGGGTGGTTGCTATGGTGTTGCTAGGCGGTTGCTAGGGTGTTCTGGGAGGTTGCTATGGTGTTGCTAGGCGGTTGCTAGGGTGTCCTGGGTGGTTGCTATGGTATTG